ACTAGTTGTATATGTATCAATGAATAAGGATTTTGTTTAATCTCCTTACTCTACCTGTAGACTAGTTGTATATGTATCAATGAATAAGGATTTGGTCTCTAATCCATCCAATACTGTGAAGATAGTTTTGGCTGCAACCTAAAAATATTCAAAATATTATTAAAAAATATGGGGGTGAGATTTGTAGGCTTTTTGAAAGTCTTTCCAAGGGACTGTAATTCCTTTGATCTTGACTCTACGATTAGCAACAGTTTACCGGGCAAAAGCTTTTTGATAAAATTAGGTTTCCAGGGCGCTTTGCGCTCATCTCCAATTTTGACTTTTAATTGTTGTTCTTTTATCGAGTAAAGTAGATATACAGATTTCCCAGTGTAGAAAGCAATTAATACTCTTTTTCTTTAATTGAATCTGCTTTTGAGCAGAAGAATAAGATAAAGATCATACGAACTTCTTCTGGTAAGTGAACTTGGGATACTCCATATTTCCTAATTTGTACCAAGGAGTATAGAATAGAAGGGAGATGCAACTGACGCCGCCCGCCCTACCATATAATTGTGCATGCTTTGCAGGCGGTACTTCATTGGAATACGAAATATTTGTCTGATGTACAATTACCGCGTATACAATAACCTGTTCTGAATATTTCTTATACAAATGGAGTACCGTCTGCAAAGCATGTATAATCATATGGTAGGGCGGGCCGCGTCAGTTGTATCTCCCTTATATTCCATACTCCCTGCTTTGTACAGTGTTTAACAAACCTGATGAGTAACAAGGATAAAGTCGTCTTTCTCTGGTTTTGAAGACTGAATATTTGTATCTTCATACTCATAGAGATGCTCATTAGGCTCTATTTCATCTTCTTCAATTGGCCTAAACAATACAAAAATATTTAGAAAATTTAAATGTGCCATTGTAAATTAAAATATTCGGTTTTTAAAGTTACTTCTTTGCTTTACAGTACGTATACTGACGACGTACAAAAGAACCAGTTTTGTCAATAAAAATCCTCTAAATTACTAAAATCATAAACATTCAGGATATAAAATTGTTTAAGAAATAAACAGGGAGAGAGTTCAAAACTTCACATACCTAGCTTAGCTCATTTTTGTTGACAGTTTTTTTTAATGAAAAATATATTTTTACCTTGGTTTTGTAAAATATATTTTACCTTGGTTTTGTAATTTTTATATAAGTTTCTAGTGTTAACAAGCTTTTTTCGAATTCCAAGTTAACATTTGTAATGAAAAAGAAGCTTTTTTAATTGAAAGCTTCTATTGACTTCTATATTTATGTGTATCCATGCTTTTATCAGCTTGATAAAAAATTAAAATTTAATTCTAAAGTCGTCTTCATTGTATTCATATAATAGCCTACCAACGTATAATAATATATTGATATAATAACAATAATGATAACAATATTAATAATAATATAAATTCACCTGATATTCTTTAATCTTAATTCTTGGAACACCTGGAATTAGATTTTTCTTTGGAAATTTGACTCGGAACACCTAGAATTGAAGTATTAATGATGGGTGCTTAGTTTCGGAAAACTAAATCTTACTGTTCCAAAGCAAATCATTTCTGATTTACAACAGTACCCTTTCATCTTTATCTGAACATTAATTAGGAAAATTTCTTCGTTTTTCTAGCTTAAAATTTTTTTCTTGGGAAAAACACAGATAACCCATTGTCAAAAATCAATTTTCAAAGTTAATAACTTGGACATGTAGCAAATGCCTTGCTCTAACAAATTCTCTAAAGTCTGTAGCAGCCCGGGTATAACATTCTGTATTCTTCTGTTTGTATCGTTGAAGAGATACAACTCACTCTAGAACTCAATGTTTTACAATAATGCTTCAGTTTGTATCATTCCAGATACCACGTTATATGTATTCTTCTGTTTGTATCGTTCAGATACAACTCGCTCTAGAACTCAATGTTTTACAATAATACTTCAGTCTGTATCAATCCAGATACCACGTTATATGTATTCTTCTGTTTGTATCGTTCAGATACAACTCGCTCTAGAACTCAATGTTCTACAATAATACTTCAGTCTGTATCAATCCAGATATGATGCTATATGTATTCTTCAGTTTGTATCGTACAAATACAACTCGCTCTAGAACTCAATGTTCTACAATAATACTTCAGTCTGTATCAATCCAGATACGACACTATATGTATTCTTCTGTTTGTATCGAACAGATACAGCTCGCTCTAGAACTCAATGTTCTACAATAATAATTATTCAGTCTGTATCAATCCAGATATGATGCTATATGTATTCTTCAGTTTGTATCGTACAAATACAACTCGCTCGAGAACTCAAAGTTCTACAATAATACTTCAGTCTGTATCAATCCAGATACGACACTATATGTATTCTTCTGTTTGTATCGTTCAGATACAACTCGCTCTAGAACTCAATGTTCTACAATAATACTTCAGTTTGTATCATTCCAGATACCACGTTATATGTATTCTTCTGTTTGTATCGTTCAGATACAACTCGCTCTAGAACTCAATGTTTTACAATAATACTTCAGTCTGTATCAATCCAGATATGATGCTATATGTACAGATAGTGTTAACACGCAGTATATAGGTATGTTTAGGTTTACAAATATGGGGTTTACTACTATATTTACTGCAGACATCTTATTTTATTTTTGATCATTTTAAGGGAAACCTTTTCATAGAAATGAAAGATCACGTGAACTTACGTGTACACAGGTTATAATGCAATTAAAGTTATTTCAGAGGTGTACGCATCTTTCATATTGCAGTGTACTGTCTCTGGGCGGTAATGTAAACACAAGATGAATGTCAAATAAAAAATTAATGAAATATTCTGATCATAGGAAACTATTATGTGAATTATCAAAATTATGAAAATTCAATGCTTTTATCCGATCCGAACACTGATGCACCCATTCTTGTTTACAAATTCCGCCCAGAGAGAACTAGTTTCAATATGTACGCAGAGTATACGCAACTGATATTAACTTTCCTTGCAATATAACCTTGCGTGTTCACATCCATTTCCATCGAATGAGATTTTTGCACTTTAAAAAAACTTAGTTTATATTTATCTACCTTCTTTCTTATTTTTTGTTTCAAATATAGTGAAGAAACTAAAATATTTATTTACCTTTTTTTAATTTTTGTTTCATATTTATTTTAAAAAACTAAAATATTTAGCTACCTGTTTTTCATTATTTTTTGTGTCTATTTCAACCCTTCTGTTTTCGGATTTGGTTGAGCTTGAACCCCTAACAGAACTTTCTGCTCTTATACTATTCCTAGATAAATCAGAATGCGTTCCTAATTTTTGCAGATAGAAACTTTGCTTTCATGTCAAAATTCTGGTAAAGGAGTTGAGTCTTTGCCACAAATCTGATTTTTAATCCCCAAAACTTGATTTTCCAACTAATAATGAATGAAAGATTAAAAAACTAGATATGAAAAGTTTTTCATTATCAGGTTTCAAAATTATAGGGATCAGAAAATTCGACTCAACTTCTTTTGTGTAATGAAGATTTTAAATTACATTTAATGATATAAACAAAAAAATATAAAGCTTCTAAGAAAAAAAGACAAATTGATTTCCGTGCAGTCGACTCTGAACACTGAAGTAGGGTTCCAGCGAACAAAAACCTTTGCAAAAAAATGTAATAAAATGAATTAAGCGAAAAATGCGAAAATAATGCTAAAATACTTTTCGCGAAAATTTTGTTCGCTAAAAATCGCGAAAAAATAAACCAGAATGGTTGTAGCTGCAACCATTAATTGCTCAACAAAACTTGTAAAATGCTTTGCTCTGAGAGCTCAGCATTAGAAGTTTTAATAATAAATAATTTCTCTTCCATATTTTTATTCGCAAAGTTTTTGCATTTTTTCTCCAGGAATTTTCGCATTTTATTTTTCTCGAGCGAAGGAAATGCGAAAAATGCGAAATTTTCGTAAACGATTTAACCTTTTCGCTGGAAAGCCTACTCTAAAGTCTCTGTATCTTATATTGATATTAGATACTACTCCTGAAGATGTAAATATTTATGAGTTCTTCTAATTTCAATCTAAGAAAAGAAAGTTTCTTGGAAAAGTTTAATGAGATCTGTCCATCATTGACCAACACAAAATAATAAAGAAATTCTACAAATAAAATTTCGCGGAATTAGAGTTAAACAAAAAGAAGAGCGCTTAACTTTAAAGGAACTGCATAAGCATAATACTAAGTAACCCTCCATGCAAAGATTGCAATGCCTTAAACCTCTCTCTGTTCAACAATGTGGAGATAATGTTGTTTTTCTGGCACAAAAAGTGTTTAATTCTCATAATTTATGCATTGCTTCTTAAAATAAAAAAATGTGCAACTCAATTTTGCAGAGAAACCACAAATGCAAACATAAACTACTCAGACAAAGATATACGGGTAACGTTAAAAATCGACATGTTTGCAAGTAAGGTCATTTGAAATTATGCATAATTTTCTTTCGACAGCGCAGTTAACTATAAATAGAATATTAACGTAGTTTTATGAATATTTTCCACAGCTCTTCTATTTATATGATTACATCTTTTCATTCTACATATATCTTAAAATATTCATATTCTTTACCTTTTTTGTAGAAAGACATTTTAATCACAAAAAAAGTATATTTCGAAACTGAAGCAGAATGACACGAATACTGTTGTATATAATATAAGATATCAAACGCATCTTGCCTTTCCAAAGTGTGGTCTGCCTTTTTTGTACTTCAAAATTGACGACAAATTCAAGCGAGGAAGTAATAACTCGGCTCAAATTATGAATTTTCAAATCTTTTTATCTTTGTAACCCAACATTGTAGACTTTTGATATTTCTATAAATTCTGTTGGATTAAATAATCTAAATTTGAAATATCAAAGGTTTACACCATCAGGTTGCAAAGATTTTTTCTCACCTTGAGTATTCCCGCCCTCTAGCACCCAATGAAGATGACCTCGTATTATCCGTGACCTCCAGCGACCTCGGGTTAGATCTTGGCTCTTCTTCTGACCTGGCTGTAGGCTGAACAACTAGCCTTGATCGCCCTCTCTAAAGTATAATGATAATAATAATAATAATAATAATAATAATAATAACAATAATAATAATAATAATAATGTAATGAACCTGTCTGAATGTATCTGGTTCCTCCGCCCTAGTCTCCGCCGAAACACTCGGCTCCGAGGCGGATACTCGAGATCTTAATCTTGACCTCGACCTTGAACGAGGGCTAGCCTCGAACTTTACCTCCGGACTGACCTCGGTCGACCTCGAGTTTGTCTGGTCGACCTCAGCAGTTCGAATTCTTGTCGACAAATCTGAATATCTTTGTCGAACAACTGTTCGTCGTTGAACTTGAACTTGATCCGACATATCGGGCACTTGTCGAATATTTGAATCCTCACTGATTGATTCCGAATATTCGTCGGCCGAATTTTCCCGACGAATTTCATTTATATTTATTCGTCGTCGGGCGGAACCACCGCGCTCCAAATACGGAGCTTCGACTCGTTCTGAAGAAGAGGTATGACGTTCCGACACTCCTCTTTCGAAATACGGAGTTTCGTCGAATGATCTGTCTCTTTGAGTAACATCACTACTGATTCTGAAATGATAATTAAAGATGTTAAAAGAAAAAAAAAACTTTTTTAAAGACCATTCTCATGGTTTATTATATTATTATATATCAACTGCGTGTTATTTTTGGTTTGTTTCTTATACAGGACTTGGGGTTGCCACTGTACAGGAAGGGAACAATATTGTAAAGTAGCTTCAACAGTTTTATGGATCTCACTGTATTATTTTACCTATTTTTATCCTCGTTACTAGAGACTTCAGATGCCACCTAGAAAATATAAACGATCAAACATTTTAGGATAATATTTAGTTGATAGAAATGGGCCTTTTTTCAGGAATAAAATCAAAATCTAGATTGTGTTTACTATCGGGTTTTTTCAAAAATGAATCCAAACCCAGACAACCACTGCAGTAGCAGTGGTGGGGAGTGGAAAGAGTGGACGTCCCCCTCCCTGGAAAATTGGGTGGATGCCCCCCCCTCTGGAAAATATAGGGGTGCAATTTGATTTTCAAGAATCTTTTTTTTTAAATGTTTACCCAAGGCGCCACTTATTCTCCCAAATTAAGATTTTTACAAAAATATATAAAAATCCAAAATTTAGTATAACATGTTTCCCCTCCCATCCCCAGCTTATCATTGTATTCATATAAAAATTGCCGAATTCCCTGTATAAATGCAATTATTGGCCGAGGGTGATATGAAAAAATGTCCCGTTAATCACGTGATTATGTAAATATCAATGTTTAATACCTGATTAATTATAGGTCGTCTTTGTCTCGCTCGCTGGTTTACCACAATATCTCTTTGAGCTAAAAATAAAAAAAAATTATTTTCATTTTGATAAACTTTTTTCCCTCATTTTGTACTATCTTGTTTTATTTCTTTATTGGTCTTGGATGCCGTCATCTTTCTTAGAAAAATCTGTAAATCTACTTTCACTTATTCGATTTTCTATCTGTCTACCTGTCCCTGTGTATTATTTATCTTTCTCTCTATCACTCTACCTTTCTATCTGTCTATCCATCTCTTTGTTTTTTTGTCTATCTGTCTATCTGTCTATCTGTCTATCTGTCTATCTGTCTATCTGTCTATCTGTCTATCTGTCTATCTGTCTATCTGTCTATCTGTCTATCTGTCTATCTGTCTATCTGTCTATCTGTCTATCTGTCTATCTGTCTATCTGTCTATCTGTCTATCTGTCTATCTGTCTATCTGTCTATCTGTCTATCTGTCTATCTGTCTATCTGTCTATCTGTCTATCTGTCTATCTGTCTATCTGTCTATCTGTCTATCTGTCTATCTGTCTATCTGTCTATCTGTCTATCTGTCTATCTGTCTATCTGTCTATCTGTCTATCTGTCTATCTGTCTATCTGTCTATCTGTCTATCTGTCTATCTGTCTATCTGTCTATCTGTCTATCTGTCTATCTGTCTATCTGTCTATCTGTCTATCTGTCTATCTGTCTATCTGTCTATCTGTCTATCTGTCTATCTGTCTATCTGTCTATCTGTCTATCTGTCTATCTGTCTATCTGTCTATCTGTCTATCTGTCTATCTGTCTATCTGTCTATCTGTCTATCTGTCTATCTGTCTATCTGTCTATCTGTCTATCTGTCTATCTGTCTATCTGTCTATCTGTCTATCTGTCTATCTGTCTATCTGTCTATCTGTCTATCTGTCTATCTGTCTATCTGTCTATCTGTCTATCTGTCTATCTGTCTATCTGTCTATCTGTCTATCTGTCTATCTGTCTATCTGTCTATCTGTCTATCTGTCTATCTGTCTATCTGTCTATCTGTCTATCTGTCTATCTGTCTATCTGTCTATCTGTCTATCTGTCTATCTGTCTATCTNCAACATTTTGAACATTCGCCAACATCTCCTCTCGTTATTTATCTGTTATTTACATGTTAAAGGAATTGAAGGCGTAATTTCAAGTGATTAGTAAAGTGGCATGTCCAATTCACAACGTTAACCAGTTCTCTACCCTGAGCTGGAAACTTTTGAATGATGGATATCGGGATTAATGCTTGATCCACTCTTTTTCTTAATCTCGAGATTAAATAGTACTTGTTTTCCTCTTCTTATTAATCTCCAGATTAATTATCCTGTTCTCTCCCCTGTTCTCTCCCCTGTTCTCTACCCTGTTCTCTACCCTGTGCTCTACCCAGTTCTCTACCCTGTAGGCTGCGTCCACTGCACACTGTGTACACTAGACCTGCCAGTATCAGTAAATATATGCACAGTACGATTACACGAGACTGGCCGGTACTATTAAACGCTTGTACCGTTAGGATCATGGAATAATTGCAATCTGATGTAAACTGTTCCATCTGTGGTAATGACTAATCTATGAATTTGAGTAAAGTTTACAGAATACTTTTACCTAATAAGATCACGCACAGTAAATATTGTTAAGCTTAATAAAACATGAAATTGTAATGACGATTTTAAACTATGCATAGTCATGAACATGAATTATGTATACCTAGTAAGGAGAGTGGCGCCTTAAAGGGACAGTAAGCGTAATTTCAAGTGACCCTCCATCCAAAGATGGCAATGCCCGATTTACAATGGTACCCTTAAAAGCTTTGTCCGATCTCATAGGAATTATAGCTATCTATGTTTTTGTATCTTTAAACAATTTGTCACAAAGTAACAGTTTTCAATCTTTTTCTTTTCCGATATGAGTAGAAATTAACTTTTGCATTTTCTTTATTTTTAAATTTTTTCTAAAAACTTCCCATACTTCTCATTATTGTGACCCATTTTTGGCGTACTGTAGTAGTGTTAAGTAAACAACCGGTTTTTTGGCTTAACTGTTTTAATCTTCTGATGCAGTTGCAATTATGGGTTTATTAGATTTGCAATCTGTCTATCTGTCCATCTATCTATCTATCTGTCTGTCTGGGAAAAACCTACCTAAAACTATCCCAATGTATAGAAGAATGTGTAGTATGCTCGATCTCATTGTGTTCGTTCTTCAAGCTGTCTGCCTGTGTTCCACTGAAAGCAAACCCAATTTAATGATCATGCATTTGCAAAAGTGCGATAATATCTTGTTTGGTGCGCATGATGACTGTTTGTGTGATTACTGTTTGGTGTGATTACTGTTTAGTGTGATTACTTTTAAGTGTAGTTATCATTTAGTGTGATTACTGTTTAGTGTGATTACTGTTTATGGTGATTACTGTTACTGTCTCAAAATTAATTTGAAAATAAAAAGTTTGACGATTCCATCAAATTCGTAAGTAAATATAAAAAAGTTTGTTGCAAAAAACTGGTTTAGATCCACTTGTTTTACTCCTTTCCATGCAATGTTTGCATTAAGAGCATTCTTTTCGATCAGAAATATTTCAGGCTTAACAGAGAAAATTGAGATGGTTTTTGTCTGCAAGAAATTGGTTTAAAGGGACTGTAAGCGTAATTGCTAGTGAACCTCCATACAAAGATGGCAATGTCCGGTTTCCAATTGTATCCTTCAAAAGTTTAATTCTGATGATTAATTAATGTGTTCCTGCTATAGAAATGCGCAAGTCACTTTTGTAGAGAAACCAATAATGAAAATAATCAGTTTTTAAAATTATTAACACGGATATCTAATTCATACTTGATCTAACAAAACTGATACCGTTGCAAATCGTGCATTGCCATGTTTGCATGGAGGGTCACTTAAAAATACGCGTACAGTCTCTTTAAGAAAAGTAAACAAATGTATTCGGAAATTGTATCCAACATTTTGAACATTCGCCAACATCTCCTCTCGTTATTTATCTGTTATTTACATTTTAAAGGAATTGAAGGAAATTGTATTCAACATTTTGAACATTCGCCAACATCTCCTCTCGTTATTTATCTGTTATTTACATGTTAAAGGAATTGAAGGCGTAATTTCAAGTGATTAGTAAAGTGGCATGTCCAATTCACAACGTTAACCAGTTCTCTACCCTGAGCTGGAAACTTTTGAATGATGGATATCGGGATTAATGCTTGATCCACTCTTTTTCTTAATCTCGAGATTAAATAATACTTGTTTTCCTCTTCTTATTAATCTCCAGATTAATTATCCTGTTCTCTACCCTGTGCTCTACCCTGTTCTCTCCCCTATTCTCTACCCTGTTCTCTACCCTGTGCTCTACCCAGTTCTCTACCCTGTGCTCTACCCTGTTCTCTACCCTGTTCTCTACCCTGTTCT